CTGAGCTCATGTGAGTGACAGATTATAATCCCGCCCACATCATCAGAGAAGAGGAGCTGATTCTGATTCAATATTCCCAGGCTGATTCTGATCACTGATTCATAAATAAATACCATAACCTCATGCCATAAAGATCCGCAAGTCGTGAGGAGCAGGGAATTCTGGGATTGCAGACCGTTGTCTCCACAGCACTTTCTCATTCAGGCTCTTCGGGAGAGTTGGTCTGCCGGCAAAAACATAAACCCGTGTTCCAGGTGCAGGAGCTTCTGCTCGGGGTCAGAGGTCGGGGGTCACGAGAGCTGTTACGACACGCGCACTCCAGTTACGCCAGATGGGGGATTTAGGGGCTTTTGTTGGTCCAGCATCGGGACACTGAAGCGTTACAGTGTGAGGGCTTCGTTTGATTCAACTCGTTTGTTAACTCACACGTATTCATTACTTCAATGAGCTCGTCGTTTCTGCATTCAACTATTACATGCTTTAATACATTTTTCGCTAGCTGTGATGTATTTGTACATTTCTGAAATGCATAACTCAGATACAGATCACTGTAAATTATATGGACATTTTCTATAAAGCTGCCTTGAGACGATGTGTGATGTCTCAGTCTGAACGTGTTTCTTCATCCACTCGCTCGTAATAACTCAAAGCAACACACAACTCATGAAACGCATAACCCGAGGATCCATCAATATTCATCACACAACATCTATCACACACACACACAGGTAGTCCCGCCCCCACACGCACGCCATTGGTCGAGTCAGAACACTGATCCTGCTTTAAAGCGGTGGCTGATTAGGATTTCACTTTTTAAAGTGAGGGATAATGTACATACACACACACACACACACACATCGGTGAGAGAACTCAACAAACACATCAGACTTTCCCAATAAAATCTCCCAAATCTCCCGGCCGTCTCATGAGTTCATTTACAAAGGGAAACTTAATTGTGTGTGAAAAGCAGAAAGCAAAAGATGTGAACGCAGAGCAGGGCCGGCGCTAGCCATTTGGGTGCCCTAAGCACAAATGCTTGGTGGTGCCCCCTTAACAATCCCCCCCCCCCCCCACCCACCCACCCACCCAAGGAATAACAACCATTCAGAATTTCTTAGTTAGGTTCTCTTTACTTCCAAAATAACTGCTGCAAATACATACATTTACATTAACAATGGGCACCAAATATGAAAAGAAATAAATAATAAAAAGGTTAAAATTATAAATACCAAAAACCACCACAATTACTAAAAACACATATTTGGAACTGGCTACAACTGCTGGTTGATGGTTCTTCCTCCTGGCCTTGAGTTGCTCCTTGCATGTATTTTAGCATTGACCCTGCATTCAGAAATACAAGACAAAATATTCAGGGATTGTACTGAATCAATAACCATCAAAAATATTGCACACATTAGTCTTTTATATAATATAAGCCTATGTGTCACTGGAACATTTAAAATTCAAAACTCTATTCTACCTTTAAAAGAGGTCTGATGAGGCACAATGTAATAATTCTGTACATAATTTGTAGGGCTGGGAAAAGATGAATCGCGATTAATCGCATCCAAAATAAAAGTTTGTGTCTACATTAATGATATAGGCCTATGTGTGTACTCACTGTGTATAATTATTTTGTATATGTATTTAAGAAATATTTGTTATTTATATATAAAATATTTTAATTTATATATATATATATATATATATATATATAATATAAATTATCTATAAATATATACAGTATATACATGCAAATATTTCTTAAATATATATGTGCATATGTGTGTATATTATATATACAAAATAATTATACACAGTACTCATGTAGAAACTTTTATTTTGGATGTGATTACGCTTTTCCCAGCCCTAATAATTTGACAACTCCATATGAAAATATACAAACAGTGAGATTGTGTTTTTTTTCTAATTGCAGTTTCACCAATAGATGTCGCCCTTGGGCCTTTGACCGCATTATCCGATAGAACAACAACGAAAAAAACATATCTAAGCGATCTTCCTTTTCTTCTCAAACAAACGAACTGCATCTTAAACAGCCCAAGTAATAAAAAAAAATCCCAAGGAGAAACCCCCGGACCCCCGTTAAAATAAAAAATTCTACATGCAGGGCAAAGCCCTGGATCATTTGCACAACTAGCGACGCCCCTCTGAACATGCATACACGAAGCAAGGGTGCCTACAAAACTAACACTTTTATTTAAAACATTGTCTTACCTGCAAACGAGTATCATCCCACTGTCTCTTCTTTTTCCTTTTTTCCGCCCCCGACTCTTTCGAGGCCATGTCTGATGTCGATCAGGTGTCTGCCAAATTTGACACTGATTGAGGAACAGACCACTGCGAGGTGGGGAAGGGGGGGCACCAGAGGGAGAGTGGCACAGGATATTCACCTTTTTCTCCACTAATTTGGTCTAGGCCTATATTACTTTTGTATTGCTGTTGTATATTAACATGCTTTAGACATATTGTATTTGTTATTTATACTAGTAGCCTATTGTGATGATTTTTCACCACCCAGATTTTTTGGTGCCCCCCCAAGCACTTGGTGCCCTACGCGCAGTGCGTGATGTGCGTGTGCGGAGCGCCGGCCCTGACGCAGAGTTGGAGTCCACAGTCCCAGATCCACAGATCTTCACATGCGAGGCGAGGCGATCTCTGCGCCGCTTCAGGGATAAACACTCGCTTTATTGGGAAAATAATTATGGAGGAACGAGTTCAGTTTCTGATCATCTCCAGATGTTGTGCTTCATATTTCCACAATCATTCCATCAGTAATAAACGGCAGCTTGTTTCTCATAATCTTTTCTTTTCCTTTCATGATGAGAAGTGAATTCCTTTAATATATTGAGAATTAAAATAATCAAAAGTGTGAAATCAGTTTTTGTTTTTCCAGACTTTCATTTATTTTCTCAAATTCCATAAATGGTTTAAATGGTTTAATTAAATTGTAATACTCAAAAATGATGTCTAATCAATTAAATTCATAAAACTTTAATAATGTAGTGAATTATTAAAATGGTAACTATAATGGTGCCCTATGATTTTTTTTTTTTTATTTATTATTCTAAAGCGGTGTTGTATGTTTTCATTTTTCAGGTTTTTGCGTTTAATTGAATAAGGCTATGACAATTATTTCCCGAAATAGTAAAATTCGGGAAAGTAAAATTTTAGAAATAATTTTTGATTTCGGCAGATTGTCATGAAGAGCTTCCCCACATTTTTAATTCTGTTTGTTCATTACGGTTTATATATTCATTTTTCAGTTTAATGTCTACTGGTTGAGATTTTCTTGCACATATTAGAAAATAAACAGGCATAATTAGTCAAAATCAATGATGGTTTTGGTGGTGCTGAATATCATTGAACTAAATTCAGATTCAGATCCAGTGTGAGTCACGATCGGATAATTGCCACAATGACCAACACAATCCAAGAAATTAGCATAGGGTTTAAAAACATGCTTTTTTGGGGCGTTAAATAATGGCAAACACAATATTTATGGGATTTATCCTCCATAAACTCGTGAGATCAGCCGCAGAAATAACCCTGTCCTCGCCTTTCAGCGTTAGTTTTACATGTGTGTCGTTAGTAAATACTGACAGCTTTTTAACACCCAAACAGTGTTTGCGCTGAGAAGCTGTTAGTAAATCTTAGACTCGGACGAGGCTTCGGCACCACAACCAGGAGAACGAGTCGAGCACTGGATCAGGATCACTTACACACTCCTCTCTGACGGCGACTAGTGAAGAACAGCATGAAACACGGCCCTTGTTAGTGTGTGTAGAGCAGCAGTCATCTCTGCTTTCACTCACACACACACACACACACACACACACACACACACATCTCTGCTTTCACTCACTCGCTTCCTGTAGACACTCACACTCAGCAGACTGTGACCATCTGCTTCAACCTCTGCACCCTGACACACACTCACACACACACTTTACAATAACAGGACGTGAATTATCATGTACTAATACCTGAAAATATGAATGTCAATTCAGTTATTAGTACATGATTATTCATGTCCAGTTATTATAAAGTGTTACCAGTTTTATAAACTAGTTTAAATATAAAGCTGTTTTGAAACAAGTATACAATAAATAAACAATAGTACAGTATATCGCCATAGCAAACAGCACTAATAAAATAAAGCGTTTAGTGTTGATGATGAAGCGCTGGAGTGGAGCTTCAGTGGAGTGGACTGAAGTTCACAGTAAAAGCGTTTTACACACACACACACATTTACACCAGTCTAATACACACCAGAGCGGAGTCATCAGAGCGCCTGAAGTCTCGTTTCCTCCCGTGTTCAATCGGGAGTTGAACATGATTGTGTGTGTGTGTGTGAACGCTGATAGACCAGCAGAACGGTCCTTGTGGCCTGTAGATCCGGCGGTCGCTGCTCGAATGAGAAGAATTTAATTCATTTGTTCTAAGTAGCTTTAATCAGATTTCCACATCAGTTAATGTACCGCCGCTGATCTACACATGACCTCCCGCTGAACCGCAGAGGGTTTGTTCTGATGGACGGCGGAATAATCACAGCTACACACTTCTCTTCTGAGGAAAATGGTTTCTCAGGGCTTTAAAAGTCAAGCTTCGCTCCTAGAAAGAGCAAAACCTCATTTGATCTCGCGGCATGAGCATACGATTACATTAATGCATTTGGCAGACGCTTATATCCAAAGCGATTTACATTGCATTTCAAGGTGCACATTTACATTCTTATCAGTTCTTGCTTTCCTGGGAATCGAACCAATGACCTTGGCGTTGCAAGCATCAACGCTGTACAGTTTGAGCTAGTTTTATATCATAGAAGCAGTGTTTGTGTTTGAGCCACGAGTGGAAAGCTGGCGGATGTTCACATCCCGAGGTCAGAGAGGATTTCATTGCATTTCTAACCCTACACACCTGAGGGAGAAAGTGCAGATGGCAAAAAGTAGGATCTGGGAATCTTCCCAAAGGAACCTGACCTGCTCCGAAGGCGAAGAAGAAGCTCCTGTCGGGCTGTTCCTGGAGCAGTGCTTTAACCCGTCTCCCCATCCTCTCGTTACGCTTGTAGATCAGCTCCTGACGGAAGTATCTGTCGATCTCCTGCGCCGTCTCCTGATCACTCGCTGGGAGAGACACGTTCCTGAAGTTCGGCACCTGAGTATATGGAGACAGATCCAAAACATTTAAATCAAGATTCCTTCTCATCTGTAAACAACATGAATCCTGTTGAAGGATGTTTAGATATTCCACTACAGCTGATCCCAGTTCGCTACAGCTGATCCCAGTTCACTACAGCTGATCCCAGTTCGCTACAGCTGATCCCAGTGCACTACAGCTGATCCCAGTTCACTACATCTGATCCCAGTTCACTACAGCTGATCCCAGTTCGCTACAGTTGATTCAAGTTCACTACATCTGATCCCAGTTCGCTACAGCTGATCCCAGTTCACTACAGCTGATCCCAGTTCACTACAGCTGATCCCAGTTCACTACAGCTGATCCCAGTGCACTACAGCTGATCCCAGTTCACTACATCTGATCCCAGTTCACTACAGCTGATCCAGTTCGCTACAGTTGATTCAAGTTCACTACATCTGATCCCAGTTCGCTACAGCTGATCCCAGTTCGCTACAGTTGATTCAAGTTCACTACATCTGATCCCAGTTCGCTACAGCTGATCCCAGTTCACTACAGCTGATCCCAGTTCACTACAGCTGATCCCAGTTCACTACAGCTGATCCCAGTTCGCTATAGCTGATCCCAGTTCGCTACAGCTGATCCCAGTTCACTACAGCTGATCCCAGTTCGCTACAGCTGATCCCAGTTCGCTACAGCTGATCCCAGTTCGCTACAGCTGATCCCAGTTCGCTACAGCTGATCCCAGTTCACTACAGCTGATCCCAGTTCACTACAGCTGATCCCAGTTCACTACAGCTGATCCCAGTTCGCTACAGCTGATCCCAGTTTCCTACAGCTGATCCCAGTTCGCTACATCTGATCCCAGTTCGCTACATCTGATCCCAGTTCGCTACAGCTGATCCCAGTTCACTACAGCTGATCCCAGTTCACTACAGCTGATCCCAGTTCACTACAGCTGATCCCAGTGCACTACAGCTGATCCCAGTTCGCTACATCTGATCCCAGTTCGCTACATCTGATCCCAGTTCACTACAGCTGATCCCAGTTCACTACAGCTGATCCCAGTTCACTACAGCTGATCCCAGTTTACTACAGCTGATCCCAGTGCTCTACAGCTGATCCCAGTGCACTACAGCTGATCCCAGTTCGCTACAGCTGATCCCAGTTCGCTACAGCTGATCCCAGTGCACTACATCTGATCCCAGTTCACTACAGCTGATCCCAGTTCACTACAGCTGATCCCAGTTCGCTACAGCTGATCCCAGTTCGCTACAGCTGATCCCAGTTCACTACAGCTGATCCCAGTTCGCTACAGCTGATCCCAGTTCGCTACAGCTGATCCCAGTTCGCTACAGCTGATCCCAGTTCACTACAGCTGATCCCAGTTCACTACAGCTGATCCCAGTTCACTACAGCTGATCCCAGTTTACTACAGCTGATCCCAGTGCTCTACAGCTGATCCCAGTGCACTACAGCTGATCCCAGTTCGCTACAGCTGATCCCAGTTCGCTACAGCTGATCCCAGTGCACTACATCTGATCCCAGTTCACTACAGCTGATCCCAGTTCACTACAGCTGATCCCAGTTCGCTACAGCTGATCCCAGTTCGCTACAGCTGATCCCAGTTCGCTACAGCTGATCCCAGTTCACTACAGCTGATCCCAGTTCGCTACAGCTGATCCCAGTTCGCTACAGCTGATCCCAGTTCGCTACAGCTGATCCCAGTTCACTACAGCTGATCCCAGTTCGCTACAGCTGATCCCAGTTCGCTACAGCTGATCCCAGTTCACTACAGCTGATCCCAGTTCGCTACAGCTGATCCCAGTTCGCTACAGCTGATCCCAATTCACTACAGCTGATCCCAGTTCACTACAGCTGATCCCAGTTCACTACATCTGATCCCAGTTCACTACAGCTGATCCCAGTTCACTACAGCTGATCCCAGTTCACTACAGCTGATCCCAGTTCACTACATCTGATCCCAGTTCACTACAGCTGATCCCAGTTCACTACAGCTGATCCCAGTTCACTACATCTGATCCCAGTTCACTACAGCTGATCCCAGTTCACTACAGCTGATCCCAGTTCACTACAGCTGATCCCAGTTCGCTACAGCTGATCCCAGTTCGCTACAGCTGATCCCAGTTCACTACAGCTGATCCCAGTTCACTACAGCTGATCCCAGTTCGCTACATCTGATCCCAGTTCGCTACAGCTGATCCCAGTTCGCTACAGCTGATCCCAGTGCACTACAGCTGATCCCAGTTCGCTACAGCTGATCCCAGTACACTACATCTGATCCCAGTTCGCTACAGCTGATCCCAGTTCGCTACATCTGATCCCAGTTCACTACAGCTGATCCCAGTTCACTACAGCTGATCCCAGTTCACTACAGCTGATCCCAGTTCACTACAGCTGATCCCAGTTCACTACAGCTGATCCCAGTTCACTACAGCTGATCCCAGTTCGCTACAGCTGATCCCAGTTCGCTACAGCTGATCCCAGTTCGCTACAGCTGATCCCAGTTCGCTACAGCTGATCCCAGTTCACTACAGCTGATCCCAGTTCACTACAGCTGATCCCAGTTCACTACAGCTGATCCCAGTTCACTACAGCTGATCCCAGTTCGCTACAGCTGATCCCAGTGCGCTACAGCTGATCCCAGTTCGCTACAGCTGATCCCAGTACACTACAGCTGATCCCAGTTCACTACAGCTGATCCCAGTGCACTACAGCTGATCCCAGTTCGCTACAGCTGATCCCAGTTCGCTACATCTGATCCCAGTTCGCTACAGCTGATCCCAGTTCGCTACAGCTGATCCCAGTTCGCTACAGCTGATCCCAGTACACTACAGCTGATCCCAGTTCGCTACATCTGATCCCAGTTCGCTACAGCTGATCCCAGTTCGCTACAGCTGATCCCAGTGCACTACAGCTGATCCCAGTGTACTACAGCTGATCCCAGTTCACTACAGCTGATCCCAGTTCACTACAGCTGATCCCAGTTCACTACAGTTGATCCCAGTTCACTACAGCTGATCCCAGTTCACTACAGCTGATCCCAGTTCACTACAGCTGATCCCAGTTCACTACAGCTGCTTCCAGTGCACTACAGCTGATCCCAGTTCACTACAGCTGATCCCAGTTCACTACAGCTGATCCCAGTTCACTACAGCTGATCCCAGTACACTACAGCTGATCCCAGTTCACTACAGCTGATCCCAGTTCACTACAGCTGATCCCAGTTCACTACATCTGATCCCAGTTCACTACAGCTGATCCCAGTGCACTACAGCTGATCCCAGTGTACTACAGCTGATCCCAGTTCACTACAGCTGATCCCAGTTCACTACAGCTGATCCCAGTTCACTACAGCTGATCCCAGTTCACTACAGCTGATCCCAGTTCGCTACAGCTGATCCCAGTTCGCTACAGCTGATCCCAGTTCGCTACAGCTGATCCCAGTTCGCTACAGCTGATCCCAGTTCACTACAGCTGATCCCAGTTCGCTACATCTGATCCCAGTTCGCTACAGCTGATCCCAGTTCGCTACAGCTGATCCCAGTTCACTACAGCTGATCCCAGTTTACTACAGCTGATCCCAGTTCACTACAGCTGATCCCAGTTCACTACAGCTGATCCCAGTTCGCTACATCTGATCCCAGTTCGCTACATCTGATCCCAGTTCGCTACAGCTGATCCCAGTTCGCTACAGCTGATCCCAGTTCGCTACAGCTGATCCCAGTTTACTACAGCTGATCCCAGTGCACTACAGCTGATCCCAGTGCACTACAGCTGATCCCAGTTCGCTACAGCTGATCTCAGTTCGCTACAGCTGATCCCAGTTCGCTACAGCTGATCCCAGTGCTGATCCCAGTTCACTACATCTGATCCCAGTTCACTACAGCTGATCCCAGTTCACTACAGCTGATCCCAGTTCACTACATCTGATCCCAGTTCACTACATCTGATCCCAGTTCACTACAGCTGATCCCAGTTCACTACAGCTGATCCCAGTTCACTACAGCTGATCCCAGTTCACTACAGCTGATCCCAGTGTACTACAGCTGATCCCAGTTCACTACAGCTGATCCCAGTTCACTACAGCTGATCCCAGTTCACTACATCTGATCCCAGTTCACTACAGCTGATCCCAGTTCACTACAGCTGATCCCAGTTCACTACAGCTGATCCCAGTTCACTACAGCTGATCCCAGTTCACTACAGCTGATCCCAGTGCACTACAGCTGATCCCAGTTCACTACAGCTGATCCCAGTTCACTACAGCTGATCCCAGTTCACTACAGCTGATCCCAGTACACTACAGCTGATCCCAGTTCACTACAACTGATCCCAGTTCACTACAGCTGATCCCAGTTCACTACAGCTGATCCCAGTTCACTACAGCTGATCCCAGTTCACTACAGCTGATCCCAGTTCACTACATCTGATCCCAGTTCACTACAGCTGATCCCAGTGCACTACAGCTGATCCCAGTGCACTACAGCTGATCCCAGTGTACTACAGCTGATCCCAGTTCACTACAGCTGATCCCAGTTCACTACAGCTGATCCCAGTTCACTACAGCTGATCCCAGTTCACTACAGCTGATCCCAGTTCACTACAGCTGATCCCAGTGCACTACAGCTGATCCCAGTGCACTACAGCTGATCCCAGTTCACTACAGCTGATCCCAGTACACTACAGCTGATCCCAGTTCGCTACATCTGATCCCAGTTCGCTACAGCTGATCCCAGTTCACTACAGCTGATCCCAGTTCACTACAGCTGATCCCAGTTTACTACAGCTGATCCCAGTTTACTACAGCTGATCCCAGTGCACTACAGCTGATCCCAGTTCGCTACATCTGATCCCAGTTCGCTACAGCTGATCCCAGTTCACTACAGCTGATCCCAGTTTACTACAGCTGATCCCAGTGCACTACAGCTGATCCCAGTGCGCTACAGCTGATCCCAGTTCGCTACAGCTGATCCCAGTTCGCTACATCTGATCCCAGTGCGCTACATCTGATCCCAGTTCGCTACAGCTGATCCCAGTTCGCTACAGCTGATCCCAGTTCGCTACAGCTGATCCCAGTTCGCTACAGCTGATCCCAGTTCAATACAGCTGATCCCAATTCACTACAGCTGATCCCAGTTCACTACAGCTGATCCCAGTTCGCTACATCTGATCCCAGTTCACTACAGCTGATCCCAGTTCACTACAGCTGATCCCAGTTCACTACAGCTGATCCCAGTTCACTACAGCTGATCCCAGTTCACTACAGCTGATCCCAGTTCACTACAGCTGATCCCAGTTCGCTACAGCTGATCCCAGTTCACTACAGCTGATCCCAGTTCACTACAGCTGATCCCAGTTCGCTACAGCTGATCCCAGTTTACTACAGCTGATCCCAGTTCGCTACATCTGATCCCAGTTCGCTACATCTGATCCCAGTTCGCTACAGCTGATCCAGTTCACTACAGCTGATCCCAGTTCACTACAGCTGATCCCAGTTCACTACAGCTGATCCCAGTTTACTACAGCTGATCCCAGTGCACTACAGCTGATCCCAGTTCACTACAGCTGATCCCAGTTCACTACAGCTGATCCCAGTTTACTACAGCTGATCCCAGTGCACTACAGCTGATCCCAGTGCACTACAGCTGATCCCAGTTCGCTACAGCTGATCCCAGTTCGCTACAGCTGATCCCAGTGCACTACATCTGATCCCAGTTCACTACAGCTGATCCCAGTTCACTACAGCTGATCCCAGTTCGCTACAGCTGATCCCAGTTCGCTACAGCTGATCCCAGTTCGCTACAGCTGATCCCAGTTCGCTACAGCTGATCCCAGTTCACTACAGCTGATCCCAGTTCACTACAGCTGATCCCAGTTCGCTACAGCTGATCCCAGTTCGCTACAGCTGATCCCAGTTCGCTACAGCTGATCCCAGTTCAATACAGCTGATCCCAGTTCACTACAGCTGATCCCAGTTCACTACAGCTGATCCCAGTTCGCTACATCTGATCCCAGTTCACTACAGCTGATCCCAGTTCACTACAGCTGATCCCAGTTCACTACAGCTGATCCCAGTTCACTACAGCTGATCCCAGTTCACTACAGCTGATCCCAGTTCACTACATCTGATCCCAGTTCACTACAGCTGATCCCAGTTCACTACAGCTGATCCCAGTTCACTACAGCTGATCCCAGTTCACTACAGCTGATCCCAGTTCACTACAGCTGATCCCAGTTCGCTACAGCTGATCCCAGTTCACTACAGCTGATCCCAGTTCACTACATCTGATCCCAGTTCACTACAGCTGATCCCAGTTCACTACAGCTGATCCCAGTTCGCTACAGCTGATCCCAGTGCACTACAGCTGATCCCAGTTCGCTACAGCTGATCCCAGTACACTACAGCTGATCCCAGTTCACTACAGCTGATCCAGTGCACTACAGCTGATCCCAGTTCACTACAGCTGATCCCAGTTCGCTACATCTGATCCCAGTTCGCTACATCTGATCCCAGTTCGCTACAGCTGATCCCAGTTCGCTACAGCTGATCCCAGTTCGCTACAGCTGATCCCAGTTCACTACATCTGATCCCAGTTCGCTACAGCTGATCCCAGTTCGCTACAGCTGATCCCAGTGCACTACAGCTGATCCCAGTTCACTACAGCTGATCCCAGTTCACTACAGCTGATCCCAGTTCACTACAGTTGATCCCAGTTCACTACAGCTGATCCCAGTGTACTACAGCTGATCCCAGTTCACTACAGCTGATCCCAGTTCACTACAGCTGATTCCAGTGCACTACAGCTGATCCCAGTTCACTACAGCTGATCCCAGTTCACTACAGCTGATCCCAGTTCACTACAGCTGATCCCAGTACACTACAGCTGATCCCAGTTCACTACAACTGATCCAGTTCACTACAGCTGATCCCAGTTCACTACATCTGATCCCAGTTCACTACAGCTGATCCCAGTGCACTACAGCTGATCCAGTGTACTACAGCTGATCCCAGTTCACTACAGCTGATCCCAGTTCACTACAGCTGATCCCAGTTCACTACAGCTGATCCCAGTTCACTACAGCTGATTCCAGTGTACTACAGCTGATCCCAGTTCACTACAGCTGATCCCAGTGTACTAGCATGCTGAAGAGCATCACCTGCGAGGAGTCGTGGTTGAAGATGATGGAGTTCAGATCTCCACAGTTGTAGTGCTTGATCAGGTCCTCAGTGGTGTAGGGAACCTGCAGACTCCCGGCCCGAAGACTCTCCTGCTGCAGCAGCGTCTGGTTCAGAGCGAAGATCACCTGCAATACACACACACAGCTGAAACACACACACACACAGCCATGACTCTGGACATCTGGGGCCAGCTGCGCAACACTGGCTCTTAAAGCTGACATATTATGACGCTTTTCACAAGATGTAATATAAATCTCTGGTGTCCCAGAATGTGTCTGTGAAATCACATCTCAAAATTCCCCTCAGATCATTTATTATAGCTTGTCAAGTTTGTCCCTTTGTGAACGTGAGCAAAAATGTCCCTTTAAAGGCTAATGAGCTTTAACTCCGCCTCTGTTCAGAAGAGGGCGGGGCCTTCACACAAGCTTCAAAGACTCCGGCAATAACAGCACAGGCGGATCTGACTGATCCAGGATCAGGAGTAACAGCAGCGGAGAGACTCAGGGAGAGCTTCACTGTTACACGCTTCTGAATGTTAGCGGAGACATTTGTGTAGTTGTTGTGGAGTCACACTGATCATCTCATCATCATGTTGAACTCTTCCACAAGTGTCCACAGTTCCTGAGTCAGTGTTTATAGTTACAGTTCTGCTCAATAGTGTTCAGTGTCGTCTGTGCTGACCTCAGAACAGTTTCAGGCTCAGCTGGATCTTCTCCAGTGCGTTACAACTGGGCTCTGTTGGCGTCGCCCAACCCAATGTGTGTGTGTGTGTGTGTGTGTGTGTGTAAACGTGCAGATTAAGGGCCGGGGATATTATAATAAGATCCTCTTCATACGTCAGAAGGGTTTGTCATTGTTTTTGAACTTAACTCTGTTTATGCTCTTTTACGATTTAATCACGAATGATGCACCTGCAACAAAACGGCAATGAACACATTGAAATCGTTTTACAGTGTAGACGTCTACTTGATCTGAAAACAGAAATGAGTTCTATCTGGTTTGTTTCTTACCATCAGATCACAACAACACACATTGGAGCACAAAAACACTGCACTAACACACTCAGCTCTGAGACCATAAGATGACTGACTCGTGAACGGCAGATCTCAACACAAGCGCAGTGTTTCTGTCTGATGTTCCTGAATGGAGGCTCAACAGATCAAAGACTCAGCAGAGAGTTTCTCTCAATTAGTTCTAGCTGATGCTTTTTGTTGCTTCTGCTGCTGCATCTCACTATTGTGTTACCATGAAATTCCCCAGTGTTTACTCACACACACACACTCACTCTCATACACATACACACTCATACATACATACACACACATTCTTGTACACACTCACTCTCACACACTCTCTCACTCACACACATTGTTGTACACACGCACACTCTCTCTCTCACTCACTCTCTCACACACACACACACTTGAGCTCTTTTCATCCGTGCCGATGACACTCTGGCCGTCCCTCATTGTTTGCGGGGCTCGTCTGAGAGAGGAGGGCGGATCCTTCATGTGTGGGACAAAGAGCCGCCGCTTTCATCCCGCGCTCATCAAAGCCTCTGCTCTGCATCTGAAAGCTCTCTGGCTTTATGCTGCTCAAATTAGCCTATCGCCACCCCGCTAGCCTCACAAACCCCACGGCACAAACCTCCCTCCATCTGCCGAGTCCGAGCAGCTTCAGCTCCGCACCCCCTCCTCCAGCCTTTCAGACCCTTAAATCACGGCACGGAGGAGAATGAAAGAGCGCCGAAAGTGAGAAGGAAGAAAGACGGGGCTAAACGAATGCTGTGACGCGGCTCCGTTGTGTCCGTTCTGTGGGTCACTGGCCACATTCACACACACGGGAACCAGAGTCACTTCATATCAAAGCACTGCGGCCCTATGGAAGTCAATAACTCTGCTTTGTGATGGAAATTACCCTGATGCGTCACGATGGAGGAACAGAAAACACTCTGAGGTATTTAACAGTCTCGGCAATTTCTGCACCGGACAGAATCACGAAAATAATAATGATGATGGAATTCAAACGTTTTCCCCACACAATCCTGCTGTGATTCTTCAGATCAATTCAGTGGAAGTTCCTCAATGATGAAATGAGGTTGATTCATGGATGGAGTGATGGAGTGATTGACTGATTGGTCTTTATCAATCCCTCCTCTCCTTATTCTCTACTGATGTCTCTACTGCTAAAATGACACACTACGACAAAAAATTTTACTTTTTTTAACTTTTTAATTTATTCTTCGGACTCTCACGCGCTTTCAAAACATTTTCTCTTCTTAACCCTCCTCCTCCTTCACCAACCCTAACCGCTGATGACTTTGCCGCATTTTTATAAAAACCACCACCGTCAGTGGACAATTTTCAACACAACAAACTGACAAACACATCCTAACCGAAAACACACACACACACACAGTGTCCCTTCCTTCTCTCCGCTCTAAGAGGCAGAAGTCTTCGAACTCATCCGTTCCAATCACCTACAACCTGTCCGCTTGATCTGATCCCTTCTCGTCTTCTTCAGTTCTACCTGCACTTTCTCACTCATATCAACACTTCTCTTCACACTGGCATCTTTCCCACAGCATTTAAGCAGACTCTGATTAAGAAACCCAATATAAATACAGCACTTTTGGGAAACTACAGACCGGTATCCCTTCTTCCATTCATTGCTAAAGCACTTTGCTAAAAGTTGCTAACTTTTAAGTCCACACATTGCTAAAAAACAACCCCCAAGAAAACAACCACAACTTTGTTATCATCTAGCTGCTGGAGTGCCTCAGGGCTCAGTGCTGGGACCGCTTCTCTTCTCCATCTACATGTCATCACTAGCGTCTGTCATTCAGAAACATGGTTTATCCATCACTGTTATCATCTAGATACTGGAGTGCCTCAGGGCTCAGTGCTGGGACCGCTTCTCTTCCGGCCAACTTAACACTTCATCACAACTTCTCCATTCAGATAGGTTCGTCATCCATAACTCCATCCAGGACAGCCAGTAACCTTGGAGTTGTGACTGATGATCAGTTGAAGTTCACAGACCACATTGCTAGAATTGCCCAGTCCTGCAGATTTGCTTTATTCAACATTATGAGGATCAGGTCCTTCCTATAGGAGCTACACAACTCATCATACAAACTCTTGTTCTCTTCAGACTGAACTATTGTAATGTTCTTTCCTAAACCTCTGCAACTGATCCAGATGCTGCAGAAAGAGTGTGTTTATCAAGCCGAAGAGACACTCGTAATTCCTCTCTTCATAAACCGCCACTGATGTTTTCCAACAGATCAACCACTGGATCTTCTCTACATTTAATTTGTAGATTATTTGAACAACATTTTAGATCATTTTCTAAAAAATTCCATCTTTTCATATCATAAAATTTTGTCAGCTGGGAAGTTCAGCAGCTTTATCCTCAAGGATTTTCTCTCATCACATAGTGGGGGATTGATAATGTGATCAAATAAATAAACGAGTAATAAATAAATAAACGTTTGTCTGCGATATAATTATCAGCACATCTCAACTTCAGATAAACAGATTCTACACACACTGACACAAAACGTGAACAGACTGACTTTCATCTAGGCTTTCTCTAGGTCTCGCCGCCTGCTTTATGTCCAGTCCCTGTGGAGATCCTTTATCTCAGTTCTGTCTCCAGATCAACAACCGTCACTAAAAGCAGCTCAAACTCCGTCTAACAGCCATAAACACTCAGCACTCGTCTGCCGTGTGCATTAGCAGCTTAAACATCAACATGCTAAACGCCCTCCTGACAGACGCGGCTCCAGACCAGCTCTTTACACACACACACACACACACACACACTTGCAGAAGATGTGTCAAAGTCTTGGGCTCTAATGAGATTTTTTGTCTTATCTGATTTGAAGTGGGCGGTTATTGTCAGGATCTGATAGTGTGTGGTTTGGCGACTAACAGAGGAATGCAGGGTTGTGTAGTTGAGATGTTGTGTAGTTGAGATGTGTGTGTCCATGTCGCTCCACATTAGTCTGATCCTGGTGTCTGATATCTTTCTCTTCGGCTTCAGGAAAATATTCCTGCTGTCTGACAGAATCAGTGTCACACTGAAGGAAACTCACTGTGCTTTGATTGACAGCTTCATCCGGCCCGCACATGCCGTCTCAGCCAATCAGCTCGCAAGAAAAACAGGATATTATAAGCAGCTCATGTTCTGGATTAGAAACAAATAAGAAATGTGTCTAATATTCAAATTATCACTGCATGTCACTCACGCGCACACACACACACACACTCACACACTGAGTTCTTCTGAGCTCCACTTTTCTGAGCTTTTCTTCTGAGCTCCACATCCGTGTGATTACAGAGGACAGAATCCGATCGCTTGCAAGCAGAAATTAAACAGGAATTCTCATGAACGCTGGAGGACAGAAGATGCACAACAGTGAAGGAGTGTTCAAACAACAGACGAGTGAATCCGGTCTCGTGTTTTAACATCATGCAGATTCCTCCGCTATTTTCATGAGTAACAAGTGGAAATACTAGAAAACCACAATTTAAAGTTTGTTTTCCAGCACAAATATATAAACATTCTTAAATCAAGAGGCATTTACTGTAGAAGAAGCAAAATAACTGATGATATTACAGCTTATTTACTGAAAAATGCCTCAAAATGAAGTAATTCAAAGGGAAAACAAGTCTCCATTGGCAGATGGTGTTCTTGTTTTAAACTCACTTCATTTTTATGCATTTTTCATTAACCAAGTCTTACAGTAATATCCTCAGTAATCGTTCTTCTCCAGTAAATGTGACTTGATGTAACAATGTTTAGATATTTGTGCTGAAAAACAAGACAGAAACACTGAGGAAGAACAGGATTATTGCGGTGTGTGTGTGTGTGTGTGTGCCGTTTTTATGAGGTCAGTGAGCAGCGACGGACAAAGAGCCTCGTCCCTGAAGACAAACACTCTTTGGGTGCAAATGACCCTGAAAACATGTTCGTTTCATCCGAGCGACTGGAATTCTGGGACAAAGAGTCAACAATAGCGGCCGCGGGAGAGCGAACGTACACTCGAGAGCCGCAGGAACAACAAGCCCACAATCCGGAGCGATTCGCTCCGAGGAGAACCACAGAGCCGAGCGAAAGA